GGCAGAGGATTTTAATTAAGGTAGATGATAGCCGCTTATTCTCCCCCTTGCTTACTAGTCGCAGCTCTAAGTAGAAACGCTCAAGGATCCATTCTTATAGGTGTCACTAAAATTTCTTTGCTCCCTGACTCTAACTCAGGGGCTCAACGGCATCGTTCTCGAAATCTTCTTCAAATCACAACGAGTGCATCATCAATTCACGTCGAATATATACACTTTGAAGCGCTGCGTGCGCAGAGATCCGAGGTAATTCGAGGTGAATATCGTTCGCTAGTGGTAGCCGTTAGTTTTTGGCGCACACAGCGTTTATTGGTCAGAGAGGCAGGCATGCGTGTGGCGCTGTTATGTCGAGAAAATTTCGTGGCACAATCTAATATGATTTGGAATAGAGGCATCGCGCGCGAGACTCGCGAGAGGAGAGGAATGATTTTTCAAGCGATAAACATTCGCTTGCAGGGAGTAATAACACGCGCACACGAGCGCGAGCACCAATGGTAACGCGTTTATCTCGCTTCTATGATTACAAAGGGTCAACAACACCGCGGCGCTCTACTCTCCCCTCCTCGATACTTCTTGTCGCGCACCAATCTCCCTCCCCCGCCCTAACGACCACCTCATGGAGAATTCGCCCGCTTTTCCATTTTCTTCTTTATTTCCCATACCTTTTTCACGTCTTTCTGTCGATTAATCATACATATTTAATAGCGGTAGGTTCGTGGAAATTTCAGTGTTCAAAGCAGATTCTCAGTCGAGCTAATAATGCTGCTTTAACTAACGATGCGTTTTTGTTTGTTAGTATAATATCGAGAGAGCCTTGGCGTATGTGCATCGAGGATATTTAATCGTTAGTGATTTCTGGGACTTGCTAGGAATTTTCGAAACAGGTGCTATTAATATTTTGAAATAAAGGAGCTGAGATTATTGTCGATTGAAAATGTTCGTGATTATGTACAGTTTCTAAGGTTCGGGGCATATCGACTTCAATCGAGACTAATTCTAAAAATCGTGCTTTTTATCGTTGAGAGGGAGAAAAAAAGAAAAGAAAAAAAGAAAAGAAAAAAAGAAAAGAAAAAAATAAGATGAAGATGAACATGATGATGATGATGATGATGATGAAAAAAAGAATTGGAGTACATACTGATTTTATTAAACAATATAGTTGAAGAATTATGGTGGTGGTGGTGTAAACAAGTTTTGAGAACAGTCAATGCAAGAAATATTACTAATTCATTTATACTCCGGAGATTTACACGCGTATGCTCCTTAATTTGTTATGAATGATTTGCAATCGTATTATTGTTGGGGCTAATGTTTGCGGTGCAAGATATTAAGACCGGAATTGTTAATTTTATCTGTCGATGTTCAAATTGTCTATAAGGAGCGTAATAACAAAAAACGTAAAGGCAATATAAATAAATAGGCAATAAGAATTAATTTGCTATTAAAAAAAAAAAGTCGTTGCAATCAACGTAGAGAGTAAAGTGCTTTAATAATTCATCGTGACATACTAATAAATAACGAAAGCAAGAGCTAAATGATCGAAAATGGACAAGAAAATGCGCGCCAACTTTACCACAGCATTCCAGGGTTGGAAAAAAATTGTGCGGGCGGAGGGGGAGGAGGATGAGAAGGAGAAGGGGAAGACGACGAGAAGATGGAACCTAGAGTGAGGGGAGGAAGGCATAAAATAGCCGACGCTTGTTTATCGTCGGGCAGCAGCGGCCGGCACGTAAGAAGAACTAACTCGGTGCACCAGGCTATCTACGCCCTGTATTTTCGAATGACGTACCTCTCTTATATCGTTCTTGTTTACAACTTTTAGGTTAATCTGCGCAGACTGTTTTACTTTTATCTCATCGTTCTCACGATCTCTACAATAAACAGATGTCGGAGCTTACGGCAAGGGCCGCATCTCTAAAAAAATCTTTTTTCTTCGCGATGCACCGGATGCGTTACGCGTACATATCCTCGACGTTTGGGATTTAAGAAACGTAAAAGAAAAAGCTGGGGTTATGGATTCATGGATGAGAAGGAGAATGTGGGATTTCAAGTTTTCGGAGCGAACAGTCCGGGAAAATGGTTGGAATAGGCGCAAAGAAGAATACAAGACTCACTCACCCTGAATAGCAGGTGCCTCTGGCACGTCGTCCCTCGTCGCATATTTTTCGCTTCACTCACGCCCGCTTGCTCTCTCTCTCTTTCTCTCTCTCTCTCTCTCTCTCTCTCTCTCTTCGCTCCCCTTCCGTCCGTGCGAGATATATACGCGAACAACTCTCTCGTGGAAAGAGGCGCCTGCACGCGTCTTACTTTTGCTGCTTCCTTTTCTTTTTCTTCCTTTCTTCCTTCTCACTCGCTTCGTCTCCTTTGATTTCTCGACTCAGCTTACGGTCCGTCAGTCGGCTCACTCGCGACTTTAGTAGGAAAAACAACGTGTATATTATATCCGTAGCGCGTACCGCTTATGTCTTTCTTCGTGTTTACTCGTTCTCTCGCTTGGGCGCACTCGCGTTAACTTCGCATCTCTTTCTCTCTGTCTTCCCCCTCTCTTTCTTACCTCTTTTTTCTCAACGACACGGTGCACGGCGAAACTAATAATGAGACCCCCAGATCGAATGTACACGACTAGGCTGTGAGTGCATGCGCGCACACATAAAACAAAGCTGTCCTGTACGTGGATGCGTGTACACAGGCAAACATGAGCAGTAACAGCAGTAGCAGCAGCAGCAGCAGCAGCAACAGCAGCAGCAGCCGCGGTAACAACAGCAGCAGTAGTAGTTATAGTCTGGTAATTATATTGTGTAGAAGTAGTGGTAGAGCAGCAGCAGTAGCTGTATACGGAAAAGGCGATTTAACCTCAAACGTTAAGCAAAAATATTGTGAAAAGTGGCACACACGCGCACACAATGGATAATGCCGTGGTGATGATGAGATCGGGCGTTACGACTGACGGCAGTGACTGTTGCGCACCATGTAAAGAAAGAGACTGTTTTCCTTCTCTTCTTTCTCTCCTGTGATCAGCAGCCAGTAGTAGTCGTAGTCGTAGCCGTAGCCGTAGCCGTAGTCGTAGCAGTAATAGCAGTAGCAATAGTGGCAGTAGTGGAACTAGTGGTAGTACTGGCAGTAATACTAGTGGTGATTGCGGTGGTAGTAGTAGTGTAAGCAACAACAGGAGTAGTAGTAGCAACAATAGCAGTACAGCAATAGCAGTGACTGCGGTGGCTGCGGTGACGGTGGCGATGACGGTGGTGGTGGTAGTAGTGGCGACAGCGGCGGCGGCGGCGGTGGCAGCAGCAGCAGCAGTAACAGCAGCAGCGATAGGAGCAGTAGCAGCAGGCAGAGTAAAAGAGACGAAGATGACACTATGGCGTCCTATGGGAGCCCTCGCATATATGCGTACACTCGTCTTTCTCTTTTCCTCTCGGTGTGCGACCAAAAAAATACACGCACACGGACTGCTGTCGTTTGCCCGAATAACATGTACTGCGATGAACCTCCCGTAATTTCTATCGAAACTCCTTACGTTTGCACTGACGTCGCGTCCTCGGCGGAGGCTCTCCTACTTTCCTAGCTACACAGTACGAGGTTAAACCAACCACGATGGTGGAACGTTCGCGAGAGACAGTCACTGGACACTGCACTGGTTACTACTATTTTCGAAGAAACGCTGAACTCTCCCTCTCGAGTCCTCTTCGCGTATGTTCTCCCAAGAGCCACTCGCGCTGTCAGCGCCGCGCTGCGCTCTTTTCTTGGTAGAGAGTGGGTATGTAGTACGTGAGCGTCCGCGATCAATAATCAGTGCTGCCAACACACTAGACCACCCCCCACGGTTTGCGATCACTATTGAATCTTCTTCGAGGGGGCTCGATCGTCCAATCACCTAGATGCTTTTAAAAAAAAAAAAAAAGAAAAAAAAAGAGGTTCTTTGACTTGTTCTGTTTTGCAGTTACGAGTTCGAGGTTAGAGGAATGAATGCCTGGGCTCATTTGGCTCAATTTGAGAGTACAGGGTTCGTCATTGATGACGTCACGGGATCGAGAGCCGAGTTGACTATTATTCCGAGAAAATCGAATGACGATCTGCCTGTGTATATGTTCGTGTATCATCGCTATCTATCACAGACCAGTTGCCGATTTTTGCATAGGTGTGCATATGTGCTACGATTGGCGCATTAATTAAAGTGCAAGCAAGAGAAAAAGCACGTATTTAGTGGCGTTAACCGTACGGAAATGTACCTGTTAAAACTATAGCGATCCAAATTTATGTTGGCAAGGGGCTTTTTTACTGGTCGTCGAACATAGTAGATGTTTATCGACTGTACCTGTTTTATCGACCAATTGTTCATTGCAACTGTTGTATATATAATAGTACATATAATTATGTTAAAAAGATGAATTAATAATACCTCTTTATACTCTACTATTGACCATTGTTTTATTATTATATATTTAATTATTTATTATTAAGTACAAATACGTGAAACGTTACACAGTTACATTAAAAAGTTACAATTACACAAAAGTTACATTAAAAGTTGCAATATACATTAAATCATAAAATATAAACAATACTAGTAGTTTCATTTAAGAAATTATTTATAATCCTCATTACTACTTTTAATTAATGTTTTTACTAATTATCAATATAATTTATATTGAACACGATTAAATTGTATGTATTTACATATATTTAGCATGAAAAATTAGTTATTCTCATATTAATAAAGTATAATTAATAGTATTTTCAAATTAATTATAAATAATAGATTGTTCTTTTGGTAGGTTTTTAAAGTTGTTGGTTTCCTTTCCATCAGATGGCGTAAGACCAACATATTTCCCACCGTTTGCCTTTGCATTGTATGTATTTGGTTATAAAATTTGTGATTTTGGCGTGTAAGAATACAGATTATCGATGAATCCAATTGTGTCCAGGAGTTAACAACAATTACCGCAATAAAATACATTATTAAATTATTGAAATTTAAAGATTGTGTTACGATTTTAAAAAAGAATACGAAATCATGTGGAACAATTTTAACAATTCAATGCAAAATGAGGGCGGATTTATGGACACAACGACTAATGAATCGGCTACTCAAGGGGAAACTAAACCAGGATTTAACAGAGCTAATCATTGCATTCCTGTGATGATTGCTCAGATGCTTAGATACGGAGAACAATTGACAATTTGGGGAACAGCTACACGGGTCGTCACATTTGTCGCTGTTGTTCGTCACGTCGAACCCTATAGTACTAAAATTACCTTCGATTTTGAAGATGAATCGGGTATGCACTTGTTTATATCTATACTCTGGTCATTTATAAAATTTTCAATTTTCATTCTTCTGTGTAGGTTCTATAAAAGGTATTAAATGGTTGGAAGGTGATGATATTGATTATGAATCACCGGTCAAAGTTAATTCTTATGCGAGAATTTTTGGATTAATTCGAAACCAAGACGATGAAAATTATGTTCTCATTTGTAATATTCAGCCTATGGAACATCTGAATGAATTACTCACTCACTTGATGGAGGTGACTGCAGTGTGTTTAGAAGGTGAAAAAATGGTGAATGAAACTGCATCGAGTGACTTTTCAATGTTAGATGGTTCATCTCATAATAATGCTAATCAGTGTCAACGTGGAGCAAGTAATGGAAATATAAGTGGTTTGAACGACGAGCAACAGATGATTTTAGATATTATTCAAGATAGTGATTCGGAATATGGAGCAGAACGAAGTGCCATTAAATCTCGCGTTGCACCACATGTAGCTTCCAGAGTGGATCAAATTCTAGAATTTCTCGCTGCCGAAGGTCATGTTTACACCACCAAGACTGATGATTTTTACAAAGCCATATAAATACGATCAAAATTTTATTATGTTAATTTAATTATTTGTAGATACTTTAATTATATTTTATTTTGTAAATAAAAAATGTCTTAAAATTAAAATTATTAGTGTATAGTTTTGTGTAATTGAAATTATACAAAATATTAAGTATACATATTTTATTAAATTATATCCATTCAACTATTTTAAAATAAAGTAAACCATCAATTTGTCCCTAAATACTTATTCAACTAATTAATAAAGTAAGTTCTGAAATATAATTAATACTAGACTTTTAAAAAATGTTAAATTTTTAATTTAAAAAGAAGTCTTTACCATATTCGAATGCGTCTAAACGCTTTAATATCATTTTGGTTTCATGAATTATTTTTGCATACGCACGTGACATGCAAACACCTTTCTTTGTAGGCATTAGCAGCAAGGTTATGCTGGTTTTCTGGCGGGAGCTATGGCTCTAATGAAAAATTAAACATATATGTGTATATGTAAATAATAATTTTAATTGTTGTAAGCAAATGTAGATGTTTACTTATTAAGTAAATAATGGACGAAGAGGGTGAGTATTTCGATTAAAATTACAGTAACATTACAACACCAATTACTTTGGTTATTTTACTTTTTCGTAATTGTATTTTCACGAGAAGGTTTACTGAAAAAACGAAATAAAGCACAACGGGATGGAAATGTACAGATACTATCCGATGTTCAGAAGAAACTTGGTGATTTATTTTATGATAAAAAGTGTTATCAAGATGCCCTTGAAGCTTACAAAGGCCAACTTCATGCTTGTGAATCCATATCCGATAGATTAAATTGTGCAATAGCTCACCGAATGATTGGGGAAGTTTATGCGGAAATTGAAAATTTTAATGAGGCTCTCAGTCATCAAAATCTGCATTTAGGTATAATTAGGCCACGTATTTACGACTGAGATTTATTAACAATAATGTAATATGACATTTTTAAAAGAATCATTCTTTCTTTTTAATAGAAATTGCAAAAGAGTTGAAAGATCAAATCGAGGAGCAGCGAGCCTATGCCACGTTAGGAAGAACACATTTACTTGTCGCTGAAAGTCTTATAAAAGAATCAGATAGTGATAAAAAGGCAGAAGTACTGAAAAATGCTAAAAGAGCCTTTTCAAAGAGTATTAGACTCTGTGATAAGTAAGTGTGATGCTTATTAAAAAACAGAAACGTAGAATTATTATTATAAAAAGTTAAATACATAAAATTTGCTCATAGATTAGAAAATAAAATAGATATTAGTGAGCTATTGACGATGAGAGCACGATTACTACTAAATCTGGGACTGGTTTTGGAGCAGCAAAAGGATACGGAGGAAGCTCTGAGTCTAATTAAGCAAGCGGCGCTATTATGCAGAAAACATAACTTATATGAAGATTTGCATAGAACAAACATAGCACTTGCTGGTCTTAATGAGCGGCTGGGAAACTGCGAACTGGCAATTAAACATATGAACGATGCTGCTGAGGTGGATGATATTTATTTAAAGGCAGATGCGCAGTTGTTAAAAGCTGAATTACTTTTAAAATTAGGAGAGTGGATGGAGGCGCAAAAAATTTTATACCATTTATATAAATCGAAGCATCTATTAGAGCCTATAAGACAGCAAGTCACAAAGTTGTTAAGAATAGGTAAGTATTTTAAAACGAAATTTTATCAATTATTATTCGGATTATGTAGTATCGACGTATTTTCTGTAAAAAATTTATATAATATAATAATGCAATGTGACAAAAAAATTTAGAAGAATGTTATTACTGTCGATAGCATTAATTAAACGATGCATTGAAAGCTATCATTTAAATTTTCAGCTGTTGTTTTGTGTCGAAGCGAAGACAAATTGCTAATAGAAGATGATCTATCAATAAAAGAGAAACTTTATGAAACAATGGGAGATGCGGCCATAGCCGTCCGCTCGTTAGACAAAGCAGTGTATTACTATCGAAATATGTTAACTTGTGCTGAGAAGACAAAGAGCGGCCAGATTGGTGCTGCTTTGACAAGTTTAGCCCAGACACTACGAGACGCTGGAAAATTTCAGGAAGCCATCTCATATGCTCGGAGAGAATTGGAATCGTGCAGCAACGGAAAGGATACCTGTAACTGTGCCTTATATCTTGCTGATTTGCTCGTCGATGCCAATGCACCGGAAAATGAAATTCGCGAGATGTACAATCGTGCCGTAATTTCAGCAAAGGACTGCGAAGATCGAAATTTGGAAAAATCGGCTATTAAGGATTACATAGAGTATTTGGAAAAGAGCGACAACGTTGATGTAAAATTAATCGTGTCGCTGAACGAAAGACTTGGAGGAGACTTGTCGAGCTCACAATCTGATTGTGCGCATTCCGAGGAGAATGAGAGTCCCGATATCGGTGCTGATATTTGTTTGGACGATCTGTCAGATTTGGATGAAAATCTGAGCGATGAGCAGAAACACATAGTTAGCAAGAGTACAACGCGTCGAACGAGATACATTATGAAGAAGAATGAAAAGGGCGAGTCTTTATTACATGTGGCTTGCATAAAAGGTAAATAATATTGTTTTACTTTAAATAAATCGTTACAATGTAACAAGAACTTTTCACTTTCTTTCTTTTATCTTTTTGTCTATCTTTTTGTCAAATATTGACTCGTTAATCGAATAGTAATACATTTGTTTAATTAATACAGTATTTTCCAATTGCTAAGCAAGTAAAATTTCAGATTTGAAATGGCAAATTATTTTACAATTAAAATGTGCTTATTATTTATCTTGCACTAAAACATTAAACAATGCCGTGAATTTATGTTATTTATGTGTGGGTTTAAAAATTCAAAACCATTCGTCTTACAAGATTTAACTACTTTACGCTATTTTTAGATCAATAATGTAAGAATCATCAGAAATAAAATATACTGTTGGTTAAAGTGCAGCAAGCGTTAATTCCCTGAAGTGAAATATATTTTTTGAAAAGTATTCGGTTACTCGTTACAAAGGCCCAATACAGACTGTCAGCTCCACGTCTTCTTTTCAATGGTCTGTCTCTTCCTATTTTCCCGAGATGGTATTTAGAGAAGCTTATCGCATTTCATAGGAATTCACTTAATATCCATCTAACATTTTATGTATGGATGCGATGAAAGTATCGAGAACTGTAATGACTAATGTCATTCATTGATTGAAATAAAATTTTTTTGTCAAATGTAGTCGAACCTCGTATATTCAATTCTCTCTCTCTCTCTCTCTCTCTCTCTCTCTCTCTCTCTGTATCAACGAGCGTTTTAGTTAAATCCTCTATTACGTTAAATTTATTGCTCTAAAATTTCATAGTTAATTTTATAACACATGAAAATAATGAAATAATAAAATATTTAATTACAGCGTTCTCGAGTAAAAATGATTTTACAAATTGCGAAGAGCTACCGGTACATACGTAAATATTCAAACATCAATTAAATTAGTCATTAAATACAGTTTTTTAATATTATGCTCAATGCTCATTGACAACCATTAGTCGTCTACATAATTCATAAGAAATGTACAGGCTCTTTCGATTTTAATTTTTAACGTTCTTAAGTTTTTATAAACCATTGTTACCGATCTGGTATAATTTATAAGTAGTGAATTGTTCGTTCTATTATCCACTAATCAATATGAAGTTTTATTAATTCTCACAAATTTAAAGCATTTAAAAGTTTCTATTTAAAGGTTTCTATTCTGCTTAATTAATCGCTTTTGGTAAATGACGAAACGATTCACGCGACCGGTAAGCGTTCGAATATCTTTGGACACTCAGAAGAACTCGGCAGCATACTTTTAAATGTTGGAGAAGATAATAAAGGGCAGACCTTACTTTAATTAAAGATTACAGATATTTGTCTGGCTTCTCATACGCTTTCGAGAAGCACCTGCGTACGGTTTTAGGAATGTCAGGTAGCGCAATTAGACGATCCTACCACCGTAAATCATGCCTCTCTCGCACTAAATACTCATCCATTATAGATAGAGATGGTTAGGTAATTATCGTGGGCTGCTCTCAGGATCTCTTCCTTAGCGGCCCTTTGATTAAAGATAAGTTATATAAGTCCTAATGTCGTTCTTAATCTATTTACTCTTACGCTAAGGCGCGTAATGAGCCGACACTGACATTTCTACGTACAGTTACGGCGGCGCAATTCAATGTGCGCCTACGAGTCTTTCTCCTGCGCCCCTTGTAATCGCCGACCCCATTAATAATTTTGTTATTTAATTTTACTTTTCAAACGGAAATAATCTTTGTCAATACATGTCAGTCGACTGCTTTTTTTCGATCGTAGTAGCGCCATGGCATTCCCAATGAGCGTGTCATTTGTTAATCCTGTTCTGTCTGTGTATTACTCGTCTACGCCATAATATTATTACCTTGTCCCATTACCAATTTTTCGAAAACATCGAAGAGAAAATTTACGATTTTTTATTCATCTTGTAAATATCAAGATTATATATTATATTTTGTTTGTTTACTTCAACAAGTAGGGACTATATGTTTCTTCTCCATCCTCATTCACTCACTTTTTCTTTTTGTCTAATTGAATAAAATTAAATTACATTTTATTATTGATATTACGACTGTTAATTAGGCCCGCCATGTTTGAGTAAATATTTAGCATAAATACACAAATAACGTAAGAAAATACAAGGAAAATATTCGTTTTGAAAAGAAAAGTAAATTCATGCCGACAGGTAACATAGCAACGGTGGAGAAGCTATTAGAGGAGCAACACCCGACAGATGTACGCGATCACTGTGGCTGGACGCCTTTGCACGAGGCATCGAACCACGGTTACGTGGACATCGTGCGACAGCTGGTGCACGCAGGCGCAAATGTGAACGACCCCGGGGGCACGAATTGCGATGGGGTTACGGCGCTTCATGACGCGGCAGCGAACGGTCACACGGCCGTCGTCCAGCTGCTCCTGGACAATGGGGCCAATCCGAACCTCCTTACGAGCAGCGGTGAGAGCGCCCTCGACTGTTTGGAACAGTGGCGGGATCGCGTTGGGGAGCTCACTTCGAGCGAGTTAAAGGAGTACGTGTACGCGAAGCGCCGACTTGCCGACCTCGTCACCGTCAAGTCCAGGAGAAAGTCAAATCGGGAAAGGACATCAAAGGGATGGAACGCCTTGGTCGACGAGGAGGACGAGACGATCGTCGTTGAGCGCAAGCCCAGTGAGTAGTCCGTTTTCATTCGTTCAACTTCATTAATTTTTGCCGTGGTTGCAAATCCATACAGACTTACTCGAAATATATTTGCCTGAGTGAAATAGTGTGCTTAATTGATTCCACGAATTCTGTTAAATTTTTAGTTACGTTCAATTACAACTAGACTCGTGCGTATCACGCATCTCTATCAGATATTATGTATTCAGTATATGTAGTGATGGAGAAATTTTGAGATATATAAAATAAGGTAGATTTTCGATTATTCTGATTAGCAAATTCGAGAGATTAACGATGAATATTAATATAACGGCTTTGTGATCACTTTTACACTTAAGATCTTACTTTGGAATTGAGAATGATAAGTAAAGTATGCAGTAAAGCTTCTTTAATAAATATTTTATTCAAGAACTTTATAAAAGCCAAATGATCGTGCTTTCTGGATAAAAATGAAAATATATAACAAATATTTGTTAGTTAGCTGTAACGGGTAATATACGAAAAAAAGAAAATACATGAAAATATTTTAATCTAATACTTACAATTTGAGCATTATTCAAGTGTTTAGGATAACTTATCGCATGATTTTCTACATTACAATTACGTTGGCAGTATATAAAAAAAAAAAAAAAATCTCACCGAGTTCGACGATTTTACCTTATCGAAAAAAATTTTAATATAAACATAATAACGGCGTAAAACAACTATACAAGAGTATAGTTATTAATAACTTAATAATAATATAAAAGTGCGGATTGTCCGCAGCGGCGGACGACTTATTTAAACAGATTTACTTATAAGAAAGCTTGGCAGATACGCTGGACACGTGGTCGAGCTTGACGGAAAATATCTCGGTGGGTGAGGATTATAAGCGGACGATTGCGAGTATGCAGCACCCGGGACGGCTTAAACTACTATCGAAACAAGCACCGGCCCCTAGGATCACAGCACCGCTCATCGACAGCGAGGAGGTGCTCATCGATGATTGGCTTGAGGAAGACTTGTTACCGGCCAAGCGCCGTGATCGACAGTTGCAACCTGACTGCCTGCCCGCACTTACTTCTACAGCTAAAAGGAAATCTAACAACGACTCGGACCGCGAAATCGAGAGAGACGTCGATAAGTGCATCAAGCGGCAGAAGATTACTACGAGCTCGGTTTGTTTATTCTTTATTTTATTGTCATTTTGTCTTCCTTATATTCAACTCGATTGCGCCGTCTCACTTTACAACTCCTTTGCTGTACAGTGCAGCATAAATTTTCCATACGAAATTAAACAAATAATTATTGAGAAATATTCTTAATATTGTACATTAATTTTTCATCTCTCGGTCAATGGGACTAAGTATTGATTTATCATAAAAGCTATTTATATCATAAGCGGTGAAATTTACATTGACATTGCAAAAATTAGGAAGACATGCTTAACCATCGCCCGTGGCATTCATTTAAACTTAACTATTTTATGGACGATATTTATTAAATATCATGAAAAAAAATGTAATTACTTATTTTTTACTTTACTTTTTTTGTTATTTCAATATCTTTTATTCTTTCAAATGCTTGGCAACGTTGAAGAGGCTCGAGTGATTAGAAACTGAATGATAAAATAAATAAGCTTTTAATAGCAATCATAATTATTAATGAAATTGAAGATAGAATTTTTTTAGTCTGCCGCATCGAGAAAATCAGAAAAAGAAGGAAAGGAACAATGTTTTGCCCAGGTTACGAACGAGCAGCAACAAACATCACTCCGGTTGATAAATGACGACAGCTGCGAGAGCAATGCCAACGAGTCCAATTTTGATTCCTTCGACGAGCTTTTGGCCTGGCCGAGGAAGCGACTGCCGAATAAACGACGCCAGACAAATCTTCTGAAGCAGGGCTTCACGAAATCCGTGCGCTCGAGGTCACCTTCGTTGTCGCCTGAACTCCAGGTGCCCCAATCCAACCAAGAGAATCACATCAGCGAGACCATCGACCTCGAAATCATCGTGGATGGAGAGACCTTCGAACTTACGCTGCATATGCGCGACTTGGGGTATTAGAGCTTTTTGTCTCGCTAAATAATAGCTTTCTTCTTTATGTTATCGCGGCAACATTTTAAAGTACTTGTATTGTATACTTGTACTTTTAGTTTTTTATCTAATGCCATTCCTCAAATTTTTTCCTCTTTTTATTGCAACGAGCAATTAGACATTTTGAAAAATCTATTCAAATTGGAAGTTTGCGCATTCCTTACAACCTACTTATTAATATTATAAAGCGACAATGACATATTTAACGTTTTTTCTGAAAAAAAAAAAATTTTTCTTAATGATAAAAATAAGGTTTTTCCATTTGGTAAGAAGGTGTTTTACGGCAAATATATTCATAGGATAATTTCGATTTTAGGAAAACAATGAGCGACATCGAGGAGCTGATCAGACATAAATTCGAGGCAAAAACCGGCTGCAGACCAAAAATTAGCTTTAACACCGAAGATAATGTGACTCTGGCGCCAGAAATTATTCTTGAAGAAGTGCCCAGAGGAAGAAATAAACTAAGGCTGTTTGGCATTATTACGGCGAATGATTTACCCCCGATTGCCGATAGATATAATAAAGTCTGCGAGACATTAGGAGTTTGTGAGTATTATTGAATTTTTTGGAAAAAAAAAGACAAAATAGGCAATGTAATATTCCTTTCTTTTTTCATAATGCACAGATGAATATTAAGTCAAGTAGCAATTAATTAAATTTGTCAATATACTGATTAATGATTAATTACATTTAATAGCATAATATGTTTGTACATAATAAATTCTATTTATTATGTTATCTGTTGGTATACTTGTTTACTTACTTGATATCGAATTGTACGGTAAAAGATAAAGATAAAGATAAATCGTTTACGCGTGCGAGGTGCCGAGCGTCATTAAGAAAAACGGCAATAAGAAGAAGCTTCGCAATTTCAGCCATCACGGACTCAATGTTAAAATCATTGCGGAGCTGCGATAATACGTCAACGTTTCGACTGAATGTGAACGATAGCGTACCCGAGGAGCTGGAGCCCTTGGCGAAATGTCTCCATTACCAGCATAGTCTGCAGTCCCTCGTCTTATCGAGAACAACGCTTGTCGGCCAAGGAGAATTGTTGAACTACGTGATGACGGGGTTGTCGGGACTCGGCGAACTTCACCTTCAATGTTGCGACATAAACGTCAACTGCCTCTCGAAGATCGATAGGCTACCACCCCAAATTCGGGTCCTCGATCTTAGCTACAATCCGCTTGGTCACGGCTCCCAAAAGAAACTATACGAGCTCCTGGAGCCCCTTAAGCGCTTGCAGACTCTTGGACTGTGCGCCTGTGAACTCGATGGCTTCGAGTTTAATCTCGGGAGTCCCTCCCTCGTCGACCTTGACATATCATGGAATCGAATAGGTGGTGAGGGCGCAGTCAACCTACTTCAGAGGCAGTTGCTCAATCTTAATCTGTCAAATACACAAAGTTTTGACTGCAATTGTGCAAACGTCATTGATAAAATTTTCTTTACCGATTCCTTGGTAAGCCGATGAGGATTTTCTAAATAACATGTATGGAAATTGCTTCCACTGGAGATAGATTCTTATGCTTTTCATTAATGTCAATAGTAACTACTAATGTTTTTAAGTATTTTTATTTGTTTGTAAATTTGTAAAAAATAATTAAACAGTTGTGAAAGCTCGATAAGTCTTGTTTGAAACGACAGTGGTAATTTATATTTTTATTCGACACTTTAATAATGAATACTTTTATTTTAGATGTTATTGCTTTTTATTGTCAACAAAACTTTTACAAGACATTGTAAATAGAGAGCATTTGTTTTATCAGAACGTCTCTTTAAAAACAAAATTTCATATGTATGCAGATTACTATGCATCTGGTTACATTGACATTTCTTATGTGAAAATTGAAAATATATTATTTATCACTGTAACAATTACGCATCATTACAATGCAATTTAATATTTTAATATTATTCGGCTACTTCCTTAAATGTGAGCGCTGGCTTGAAATAATTTAGCACTGCCGTTTAAGTACATATAGTTAGAAGTTATACTCGATTGATTTTTATAGATTTTTTTTAAGTTTTCAAAGTTTTTTTCCTATTAGACTAGGAAATAGTAACATGAATAAAATATTAATAAATTAAATCGTATCGATTTTTTGCGACTGTGTATAAGTAACTGTATCAACATAAATTTACTTAAATGCAAGAAGTACTTGCTTATTGTTATTGGTAAGCAATTTGTAATGAACTAACTGTTGAACTATGTATATTTATAAATAGGAAAAGTATCAAGAAGCAATAATTTAACTAGCAATAATAAGAACTAAATTTTTGTTTATGAGTTACATTTAAAACATGACAATAATTTTGAACCGGGGTTTCAGAAATTTTCTCTCTTCGCTCTGGAATCATTAGAGCTGAGCTCCTGCCTAGCTACTGATTTCGACGTTGAAAAAATTCTCTCTCAAACGCCAAATCTGATGAAAATTAATCTTAGCAACAACATAAACGTCACGAGGACATCATTGTGTGCCATTTTGGCAAGGAAACCAACCATGTCACACATCGATTTGAGTGGCTGTAGACTTATCAACGCACCGCCCGAGGCTAATCTAAAACTCATTACGCCACAAATATGTACTTTGCTTGTGCATATGACACATGATGTGATTGATTATTGGGAGATACTTTGGCGAGGTAGAGGGCATTCCAAAAAACTTCCTCACAATTTGATTGTATTCAAGCCGTTATAAAGTTTATTTCTTAAATTTATTTATTTATTATATTACACATTATTTTCTATCTTTATTTCACAAAATAGTATGACAAGATTTTTATTAAAAATTTATAATCAATGTGATTCTCCATTTATATATAGAAGATAAATTAATTCTATTTTATAATATTGGTGTTTTTATGGTGTATTTAATTAGCGCCCATGAACTTTATAAATATTAAATTATTTAAAATTGTTCAAGTATTTTAATAAGATATCAATATTTTAAGGACAAAGCTTCCATTTGTTGCTACTTCAGTCGTACATTCAAATTTTTACTATCTTCATATCAGTGGATATATAAAGAACTATAAAAGAAGTTAGCGACGAAGTTTAAAGTTTAAGTAAAACAAGTAATATCGTTGTATATAAATGATTTTAAAAAATGCAGTTGATTGTATAAATTATTTTAATTTATTTTATATTTCGGTTAATTTCATTGGGGCTCATTGTAAGTTAAAATTGTACAATTTATTACCAATCTTGCACTTCAATTTATCTATCTGTACATAGCGCTGATCTGGATGATCAACAAAAAAATCATTGAAATTCGCTATTAAAGAGGGAAGTAGAGCTTCTAATTTTTTTCTTTGATCTCCAAGGCACCAGAGAAAGCTTATGTGATACGAAGCATCCTTATAAAAACGATTACATTTATAAATCTTTTATATAGAACGACTTTATACATAAATAATATATTCTATAAATTTCATATATATAAATATATATGATGATCAAATCATTTTTATAAATGATACATATGAATAAATAAAATGTTATTTTATTAAAATACATATATTGTTTTGCTTAATTCTATTTTATTTTTTATTTATGCAATATATTGTGATAATCAATTTCAGCATCAAATTTCATTTCAATATTCATTAATTTTATCATTTATAAATGCATACAATATACTTATTTTATTATTTCTCTGATTATTAAGAATAATAAAATAATAACTGTTAATTTTCTTTTATTGTATTTACCTTGTAATATATGGGTAGCTGATAGTCTGTCATAAGTTTATCGAGTGTACGTATTATATTTTGCAAGATATTATTTGTACTTTGAACAGTGATTCCTACAAAAGTTCTAGTTGCATCCTCGTTACAATATATCTTGATACTTTGTAGTTCAATACTAAAATTTTGATAATTGGTAGCAATATTTTTCACAGCCTCAACAAAAGAATCAATCCAATGAAATTTTAATATCAATGTGCGCGTAAGACTCATATGAAATTCTTCAAATAGATTACTCGTGCCAACAAAATGTATTATTACATTTTTCATCCAAAACAGTATATTATCGCTTGGTAGGTCTAGAAGAAATTTATATATATAACTGTAAATTGTCAATTATATTAAATTAAATTAAATTTGTAAAAATAATTAAGTTTAAAAATGAAAAAAAATTAATAATTAAAAATAACGTTAGAGAATTTATGTGAAGTTTACAATCTATATATACTAGAGTCGCCCAATTTCCACGCTCGTGCTTGAAAGATCTTATTCGTCCATCATGTTTTAAAGGGTCATCTATTACTTCCTCATTATATGTAACTCCTTTCCATGATAGTATAGATTCTGGTAATGGTAACTTTATACTACTTTATGAGAAAAAAAAATTAATATCTTTCAATATATAACATAATAAGGGACTTGTGTACTTCTTAAATTTTAGATTAATTTTCGTATATTTATATTTTGAGAATTTACAACTGTGCGTTATAATATTTACGTTAAAAAACGGTATATAATGATTGAATATATATTACCAAGCTTAATAGAAATCTTTAAAAAGCAAAAATGTATATGGTAACCTCCTTACTTTATGTTTTTGTCTTTAAACAATTTTTTATTTTCATTATTTGAATTTTCAATCTCTTCATCAGTATCTGATAAATATTCCTGTATCAAATTTAATCCAGTCATAATAATAATTATAAAATATATCTTTCTCTGAAGCAGTAAAAATCATTTTATTGCTAAATGCATGTGTAACCTCCAATCAACGGTATTATCTATATATTGATTATGTATAAAATAAATAACAAGTTTCTACGAAAAGTAATATACATTATTTATATATTATATTTCTAAAATAACATTAAAGGTAACGTAAAATAAACTACAATTTCATTTATCATAATTAGAGAGAATTGTATACAAATAATTAGCCAAATATATATACACGGCTATCTGCGCGCTCGTGCGCACACGTAACACAACACGCATATATAAAAATAAAATAGTAAACATATTTGAATTTGTTTTATTTATCCATCAATTATAATATACAAATAAAAATTAAAACATTGAATTTCATACTAGATTTGCAGTTGTTGTTGTTTTTTTTTTTTATTAATTATAACTAAGAGTTTTAGAATTTTTGATTGACTAAAGTTTCTATATATAACCGGCAAAGATGCCTTTCTCTATTTGATTCGTCCATTTTTCTATCCAATCATTTGGGCATAATGTTTCATAACACGATTTATAATATTGGCAGGCTTCGTAATCCGCGCCTCGCTTCTTAGCGCATCGATGATAGTCTAGGAAACTTACATAGCAGTACCTGTTTTTAAAGACGACAAAAATTTAGATGTAGACTTTAGATGATGTTATCAACTAAAATATTTTACTGATTAAAAATATAATAATAAATAAAAGATGCTTATATTATTAGAAAATTGAATGGGCATAATTTATAAAGCATTTTATGGTATTAGAAAAACAATTGGTTTTTAACGGTATTAAAGTAATTTATATATTTAATATTGATTATTAATTTATTTTAAAAGAAATGTTTTAGTAAAATTTTCAATAAGATCGTTATATGATGATGAGAAATTAAGATAATGAGTGTTTTACCTTGTCTGGTTGATGGCGGGAAATCTTGAATCAAACGGTGCGGGACAGTTCTGATCCTTCATTTTGACATATTCATCCAGTGCTTTTTGTTTTTCTGGAATCATTTCTGGTGCTTTGCTATTCGATATTAATTTTTCTTTTGTATTATAATTCTTTGTATAATAATGTTAATTGAAAAATATATTGAATATTCGCAAGTGTTCTCTCGCTTCTAATCAATATGTCTCTGTCGCGTAATATAAAAATTTTTTTTATACATTAAATTTATAATAACAAATCGTGATGAAATTGAATACAATTAATATCTGTTATATTTCACTTATTAATTTAAATAACAAATAAAGAGCGTTACTTAGTGCCATATTAAATAATTTTTTATTTTCTGTTTATTGGACTTGCTTATAACTTCAGTATCCATTTGATTAAACTGGATAATACATTACATGACACTAAATTGAAACATTTTCAAAATAAATGTACTCCTTAAATTAATTACAATATATGTTTTTAAAATTTTCGGTAATTTAATATTATTATCGAATATTATTGAATTAAGAATTTCTATATATACGGCAATAAGATAATCTATACCATAGCGTTAATTTAATGAAAGAAATAAAAAAATGAAATTTCTTAATTATGTGGATGTTTCACTTCTTTTTTTTTTATAACAATTACTTTAATACTGGAATGAAACAATAATGTGAAGGCAAAAATATTAATTGGAATTAAAAAATAAAAAATTTTTTATTTCTTTATTTTCTATAATGATAAAAATTTGTTTATTAATAAAATTAAATAATAGTTTACTATAACAATTGTACAACAAAGTATAGAGTCAAATGAAAATAGCAATAAAATAAATCCTTTTGGAAAGGTAAGCGATGCTTTAAAGTATTTAAATACTAATTAAAACAAAAAAAAATGTATACCATTTACATACAAAATTTAATGCATAAATAATCAGATATAAAAACAATATGTGTTTTTATTCCTGATTTAATAATTTATAGTAAATAAATACCTTTGAGTTAGAAATGTATATTTGGATCATCGCATACCTGTGAATTGAATTTGTTTAATTCACTTCGAAAATAAAGAAAGCAAAATTTCTAGACCACCATTAAAATATATCCTGATAAATAAGAAAAAGCAAAAAAATAGTAGAATTGAAGTATTTTATGAATTTCATTGTTTTATAAGATCAATGATGAATTTATTTAACCAACGATCTGGTATTATCCTCCTCCTGACAGCAAACTTCTCTATACTTCTTCACTTCAGCCATATACATTGACCATGCATCTTTAGGCTGTTCAACTGGTTGCTCAGTCTTTGGTTTTTCTACCATTCCAGTCTTTAATATTCTACCCCCTCTTCTCTTACCCACCATCAATGGAGGAGGTGCAACTGGCTTTTCTTCCAGGACAAACGGTGCTGGCTGAGACGCAGTAGCAGGCATTTTTTCCTGCATCTTTTTGAATAATTCCATAAAACTTCCATCATTTTTGAAAGCATTTGGTTGGACTACGTATTGTGATTGTGAGGATGAACGGGAGTACGAACTTCGGTAGCTACTAGAACTCGTCAGGCCTCTATGTTTTCTATTATCCTTAGAGTGCTTCTGACTATCTTTACTGCGATTTCTACTTGGGCTGTACCTCCTTTCTTTAGACTTTGAATTGGATCTGGACCTAGATCTAGACCTTGATCTAGATCTTGATCTTTCCCACCTTGAGTATTTCTTGGATTTGTCCCTATCCCTGTCTCTATCTCTATCTCTATCTCTGTCTCTGTCTCTGTCCCTATCTCTGTCTCTATCCCTATCACGTTCTCTATCTCTATCTCTATCTCTATCTCTATCTCTATCTCTATCACGATCACGATCACGATCACGATCCCTGTCTTTGTCACGTTCTGACGATCTAGACCGCCTATAAGATCTGCTCAAAGATCTGGATCCACTGCTGCTACGTCTTCTTCGTCGTTTATCTGGTGTTGGCGACCTCCTGCGACTTCTGTATGTGTCGCTAGAGCTAAGCATAGGCGGCGATGGTGCTGGTGGCATCTCCAACGAACTGTCTGAATCTCTTGAATCCAAGTCCATGATGCGGTTGGAAGTTGATCGCACGTCTGGATAGACTCTCCCTGACCTATAAGGATAGAAACTACCTTCTATGAGTTTTACAATTCACTAGGTTCTTCCTGCCGATACTGAAACTTTTTTGCTTTTCTTTTTTGAAATTATCGTTAAATGAGTAAAAAATTTAATATATAAATACACACTGTCTGTATGCTTATATATTAAGTAAATTTTCATATTAACACAATTAAGAAGTACATAATTTTTCTGTATAATCGTTATAATAGTTCAATTCTTTATATTCTACAATGGTAGTCCTTATTTATTTTTATATAATACTTATATTAATTAATAGTTTTAAAACTATTAAATATTTTATTTATTAAGTATCATATGCAATTAATGTGAAGTTTATTTATTATATTAAATTAAAAAATTTAATTTCTACGCAAGAGACAAATCGATTGAGCGAGAGAAATTATTCCTCATGTTTTTTATAATGTTTTAGATGACATGGTAGATGATCACAAAGTTGATTGTTGAGATGGTTATTATTATCTTAAATTAATTTTGAAACTTGTATGCTGGATTAATTAAATCAATTTTTAATTATTTGTTACAAGAAAAATAAATTTAAAAATCCAATCCACAGGCATTATTTATAACTTTTAAAATTTTAGAGAAGTATAAAAAATAATTTGAATTTTATATTTTTATTTCTTAAAATATGAACGAGACCATTGTGCAATAAAATTTTCTGCATGAATATTAATATTTAATTATTGCAAAATACTTTTATATTAAACAATATGTTTCTATATTTTATATAAAGCATTAAACATATAATAGAAAAAAATTTTCAAATTTTATTTTTTAACATTTAGACTAGTTAAATTATTAAACATCAAAGTAAAATAAATCATATTACATAAATGCAAAAAAAAACTATTACAGAATAGTTATGTTCACAATATGACTTTCTGCCAAATTTTTTAAACAATGCTAATCAATATTACAATTTATAATAATAATTGTTAAACATTATCATTTTAAGTTGTGCTTTTACCAAAAATCACAATAAAAGACAATTTAAAGAAAATGTAACATAGTATTATGAACATTTTGAAAGTGTAAAATATAATTTATCGCGAACAAATGTTGTTAAAAATATTGCACAATTTTATACAAAAAACAGGTATATATGTTTTGGATGGTTAATAAAACAAATATTTCCGAATTACGTTGTGTTCTTATCAAATATATTTTTCCATTGTCTTGGCAAAGTAAAGGGTAGTAAGCGTGATCTTATGAACGCGATAATAAAATTAAATTCATACGAAAAAGCGTTTAAAAGTCAAATTTAATATTTGTTCAATAACGTATAAGAGCTTTTTTGCCTGTGCAATGCAATTAAAAAATTGAACATTGAAAAGAAATTCTCAAATTTAATTTAATGTTGCGATACCTTATTCTGCTCTTTCGATGAAAACAAAATGGCGACTAATGATGAAAAGGAGCAGCAGCAGCGGTCGTTACGTCACTCCAGCGAATAAATGGCCGCAAGGAGGCGACGTCGCTGCCTAAATAAAATAAAATAAATTTTAGATACGTAGGCTGCCTTCTTTCTGTTTTATTAAACTTTGCTAATCAACTTAACAAGCAAATGCACATCATACAGGTTATTTTATCAATTTTCAATACATATTTGATTCACAAAAATCACTTTTTTGATACGATTGAATAATTTATGAATATCTACTACTATGTAAATATTGAATCTTGAATTGCAATAGATAAAATTAACTTTGTTTATTTAATTAAACTAGTAATTATTAAAATCTATATTTTTAACCTTTTTTTTTACCACGAGGCTTAACAGTCCAGGAATTCGCAATGTTTCTTATATTCTAGTTATACAAATTTATTTTCTCATTCTTTTAAATTAAATTTTTGTAGATATTTTTTTATCAAATAATTGACTGGTGTATATTTATTAGAATGCATTATCATTGTTAGTAAAAAATGCAATTAATATAATTCTATTTAAATCTTTAATATATTTGAAAATATTTTGATAGTAATTTTAAAACTTGTATTTTAATTTCATATTCAAATAAATGTGTATAATCTAATTTACCGATCGAGTATTAGCAACAGCATGTATATCGCTCATCAATTACAAATGGCTTTGGATAATATTTAAAATCTTCAAAACGTTCACATACTCGTTCTAAATCAGTTAGAATATATTTTTTAATTATATTATTCGAATATCGTAAATATATTAAAAATAACAACAATATTTTATTTATTTAAAGTTCACATTTTTAATCTAAATAGCATTTAAGGCAAAGGTTATACAATTAATGTGACATTAAGCCATACTACGTTACCAGTAACAGATATTTAGAACTTTTAACGTATATTTTTATTTGTTTTAAGTTTGTCAGGAATATTAATTTCATTAATTAATGATTTATCATTATTTTGTATTCTTTTAGTTAAACGTAGATACAGCTGCAATACAAGTTAGAAAATGTTTGAAAGTTATACGAGTCAAACCGATGATATTTTGCAAAACAATGTAGGTGACGAGACTATAGGTAGAATAAAAATTACTATATGAAATTATATTCAGAAAATGATTACACTCATAAGTAATATAATAAGCGTGCAATAAAAAAACAAAAAAAAAAAAAAGAAGGCAAAATAGTGGTATTAGAGATGTGTATTTTATTTTATTTTGTTATAATTAAAATATACACTGTGTCATGGGCGAACAAGCGAATAGTAATTATAGTAACAAAATATTCGTCTCATTTAATTTCATTTATTTATTATTTTATTTCCATCCATATTCTCTGTAGTTTCATCACGAACTCTGTCCTCTTCTTTTTCCATAACAATGTTTCAATCTTATCATTTACTCGATTCCTTACTTTGTAATTTGTTAAATGTCATTAATTCTCTTCTAGCGCGCTTTCTTTCTCTCACATTAATCATCCTTTCTCGCTCTGTTATGTAATATTTTATCTCGCAACTCAATACGGTATACACAGTATACAGATTTATATCCCCAAAAGTATAATCGGCTTGTCTTAAAAATTTGTTTCGTAAACACCTTCGAGAGCCGTCCCTATGCAAAAAAAGTGGTCGACGTCCCGCGCTCAAGTCAAGCCGCTGATACTTTTTAATTTTTTTGTTCTTTTAAAAAACTTCCTAACTCTTTTTATTTCGGCCGGTAAAAATTTGAAAATGCAGGCCTTACGATCGCGTTACATTGCAAGTACAAAGAGAGGGAACGAAATAATTATCCGCAGTCATTTATGAAACCACCATGAATTCGTGCTATTATTTGTTCATTTTCTTTCTTTAGATATAGATATATTAATTAGATATGAAAAGACAGGGAAGATAATAACAAGTAAAATCATTAAATATCATGCTAAATAAAAATGGGACAAAAATGTTCTGCCTGCACTTCCAAGATTTTACATTTATACCGTCAGATATTCACGTTGAAAATATCAGCAAATTCTCTTATCGATAGGCAACTGGATATAGTCTATGAATGAGAATAACAGATTTTCTCAACGGCGCTAAACAGTAGTCTGAAATTTCCGCGTCATTAAGAGGGTATTACCCGTTCACTCAATTTGTTTATGATCTGTTATCTTCTTTTGATAAAGAAAAATCGGTAGACCACGGATTTTTATTCATAGCCAAAACTTCTTTGATTCTATCTATGTTTTGTTCAGGGACCGCGAGCGCAGCTACAAAATCAATATTCATAATTTCAATTTCGTGTTACAGGCATCGACTCGTTCATGTGGTCTGTATTAAAGCACAATTTTGATAATTTTTAGAATAATTTACCTTGACGGTATATTATATGACGTCGATGCAAATAAATTTATATCTTGGCATAATTAATAAGAATCTCCATTATCAAGGACTTTACTCGTGGTCCCTGGGCATACGCATCTTCAGTTGACCTAAGATCGTTAACACGTGTAAAAACAGTCTTCTGAAACATGAAGAGCAATCTTTAATGTCTAATATACAGTTACAAATGCAAAAAGCAAAAACTCAGAAGCAAGGATTTATTAGACATCTCCTTGTCTTTTAAAATGTTATATTCTCTTTCCTATTTATTTCTCATGATCCTAACATTTATCTATTAATAATTACAATGTCATATTTCAATGGTACACAGAGTTAGTCAACATTTTATCAATGATAGCTTAGCTACACGATAAAAAAATTGTCCAAACAAAATGTTGCTCCACAATGGGAAATTATGTTAAAGGCTCCACGATTTAATGGACATTTTTGTATTGACAAGGATTTTCGAATCGGACCTGCGATAACAAACTAACAAATTTTTCTCTTAAAACTTTCATTATTTTCATATTCTTTACTTTTGTAAAGATGGCCTAAATTTACATTAATCGCTTAGTATTACACAAGAATAAACTGTTTGGTAAATTCTTCGTATGATAATCTTATGAATTAAGTTAATTTTCACTTGATTCTCAGTAAAGATCCCAACTAGTTTCTCTTTCAATCATGATTTACAAAACGGCAGAAATTAATGAGGAACCAATTACTGACGCGATATAATAAGGCACGATCTAATCAATATGGTAATTAAAATTCGTGAGTAGCTTAATTTCTGAGTATAATTTATTACAGTAAACGTTTACAATGACAATGACTTAGGAGATAGATAAATTAATTGTCATTCGAAGGATATATTATCTCAAACCAAGTGTCTTACCATGAGTCGTGGTATTGAGAGCTTTGCGAAATTAAAAAGAAAACTGAAAACAATTGGAATTTGTATGAATAATTTGTTAGTTTGCACTCGCTAATAGATATTATCTAAATATATACGTATTATGTTTATGATTGGATTTATTCTCTCAACCCATGACAATTTTCCTTCGCTCATGCATTTCTCATATACCAAGGTACACTTAATATTTTAATTATACACATTGTTTTTTTAAACATTTTTTGTACTCTAATACCTATGTTTATCTTTTCTTCTAACTGACGATAATAATAATAATTCGTACATTTTACTATAATTATAGAAGAAAACCCATAATTCAAAGAAAAAGTCAGTGATGTGATTATGATTTTTCAAAATGTTTGAGGGCAAAGGGAGAAAAACATAAGCTACAAGTAAAATATATAAACTTTCGCTGTTCATATTTATAATGAAACATCGGATTATCATTATGACAAAAAAATAAAAAAAATAAAAAAAAAAAAAAAAAAAAAAAAAACAAACAAACATAAAGCAAACAAAATGAAAAAATAGAGGGAAAGAAAACTAACGACCTACCGTTAAAAATATTAGTTTGGAGTATTTAAATTACATAGTTGTAGCTTACGAATGGCGAAATCTGACCCTTGAATCATTTAAATTCATAGATTTCTTTTTTCTTTTTATTATTAGACAAAAACACGACTAAAAAATGTCGAACGGATCCAGAGGAATATATGACGAGTCTGAAGTTCTTGGGGTTGTTCGCCTGTGTTGTCGAGTGTTGTCTACATGCACGCAATGTACAGAATGTGTCCAGGGAGGGGCTGGAAGAGATGAATAATATTATATAGCGGGGGAACGGAAGAAGCGAAACTTTTTCCTTGGCCGGGTCCTTCCTTCTGTCCCCCCAGACGGAGCGATCATCTGCCTTTTTTGGAGCCTATCGACTCAAATTTGTCGAATTTTGCGTATTATCTGCTCGTTTTCATGAAAATAAAAAAGATATGTTATTTTGGTTAACAAACTCGTTTTTCATTTTTATAGTTTCATTTTCTTTTGGCATTCAAATTTTACGACTGATTAACACTTTCTTATTAAATTCATTTAATGATTTTTAAGATAATTTATTAGGAAGGCTCGAGTATTACAATACACTCTATTATCTGGCATTTATATCTTCTTGTTGAAGTTTAGTTATAAAAGTTTAGCGATTCTGAGTAATTTTAAGCGAAACTTTATTTTTAATTCACAACCGGTCATTTTTTCATGCTAAATTGGTTTTTAAAATTCTGAAAAATGCAAACACCTTTCCGAGAATATAAGTTATACAGGTTGTTCTTTTTTTATTTGATGAAACAGAAAAAATGGTTATAAATAAGAAAATCAAAAATAAATTTTTAACAAATTTTATTAATTTTTTTGTTAATACAAAAGCCTCTATCAAGTAGCATATTACTCAAGGACGTGTTTGTATTTTTCACACAATTATCTGGAAAAATACGTTCAACTTTATTTATAATTGAAAAATGAAATTAAAGTAAGAAATTGTCAATAGCATAAAGAGGTAATTGAGAAATGTTTATAAAAAACAAAAAACAAAAAAAAAAAATATAAAAAAAAAGATGTTATTAGGCTACCTTGAATTTAATATGGTTGATGTCTTTGAAATTGACGAGGTCCCTGAGGTCCATTTCTGGGTTTTCCAGGCATCGCGTAACCCATGTTCTCATATCCATCATAGCCCGAATAGTCGTAACTGGCGTACATGTCATCGTAGCCACCATATCCATTACCATATTCAGGTATATAACCACCATACCCTAAAATTTTTAAATTCAAATCCCTTATATTTGTCATTTAGTATTTTCCATTACATCTATATTATTTAATTGTTTGAATACCAAAAAAAGAAAAAATTAAAATGCATTCCATGAGAGAAAGTTTTGTTGTCAAATAGTTCTCTTTTATTCTTCATATTAAGTATTGCAATTAATGAACACAATAATTGTCTTGTAAATTTTCGTATTTATTAATAAACATAAGTAAATTAAATTACTCAGTTTTATGTTAAAATCAATACAACATTTGAACAACAATATTCATATTGATTATAAAAGTAAATACAAAAAAAACTTCGTACAAGTCTTTAATTTTGCAAATTACAAAAAAAAGTGCGTGTATGCGTGTGTATGAAAGGAAGTTTCAAACAAAAAGATTTAATAACATGTGTAGAATTGAATTTGTAAATAAATTATATTTCCGAAAGTCCCCGAGGTTTTAACATAATTACAATAACATCAGGGGCCTTCAATATATTCCAAATAACTTAAACTTAAGTTAATTGTATTCTCGATACATCGGCGGATAATTGTTATAATTAAAGGGTATTTTACCGCCACCGTAACCGTAGCCGCCATACTGAGGTCCCCAGTATCCTTGGCGTTGATCTTGATTGACTTTGACTTTCTTAACATCGATCTCCTTGCCTTTGATAGTTTGCTTAGGGGTCTTAAGTAACTTGTAAACGACGTCTTTCGAGTCAAACGTCACGAAGCAGTAGCTTCTGCGTTGGTTTTTCGTTTTGTCGAAAGGAGCCTGCACTTCCACAATTGTGCCATACTGTGCAAAGTAGTTTTTAATGTCCTCATCTGTAATCTCAGGTGTCAGGCCTCCCACGAAGATCTTGCCATGCTGGGCTTTCTTGCTCACTCGCTTTGGATCAACCTGAAATTATACATACTTTAATATTTTTATCAAATTTATCATTCAAACGTCATGCTATATTATTACTAAGAGAATAAAAAATAATCATACTAGCTTGCTGTCGTATACTTTGTTTACCTTTAATTCAATATCAAATTTTTAAGTATTTAATGTCTGATGTAAAAATAGAGAATTAGTAATGTGAAGGTTTTAAAAATTGGGAAAATGTTAAATAACATCGATTTACAATTTAACATACAAATTTATTTTAATTTAATATAAGCATTTAATAACAATTTAATATAAGACATCTACTAATCAATCGTATAACCATTATGGCTATAGTTTTTTCTAGTTTAAAAACACTCACCATTATTATGACAATTGCCCTTTTCTACAAGTATAGAAAATAATAGGTTGAGAGAGATAGAGATAGAGATAGATAGATAGATAGAGAGAGAGAGAGAGAGAGATAGAGATGGAAAGAGAGAGGGAAAGATGCAATAAAAGAAATGGAAGAAAAATAATGCACGTGTGTGTGTGTGTGAGAGAGAGAGAGAGAGAGACAACAAAAATACAGAAAAGCATAATTGGCAGCAAATTAAAAATCTTATTTCTTATTCTCATGATTAACATATTAAACAGTAATCGAAGCTAAGAATATACCTTGCGCTTGTTAATGTAGTGATCGCCCGCAGTAAGTAGTTTGTCAATAGTTTTGGGATTCTGAAAGACTATAAAGGCAAATCCCCTTGATACACCTGTGTATGGATCCATTTTAATGGATACACTTTCAATATCCCCAAATTTGCCAAAGTGATCCTTGAGTTCTGACTCGGTGGTGTTACGGGTGAGTCCTCCAACGAAGAGCTTCCTCTCATCATCTTTGCCAGGGATACCAGCCGTGGCTTGTTGTTTGTCACCACTTTCCTGTGGCTTGCTCTGTTCGTTCTTGTTCTCGGTGTTTTCGCTTTGTGCGTTCTCTTGACTCTGGTATCCGTCCGCCATAGCTGTGCCCTTGTGTCGGTGCTCGTTGTTCTTATACTTTTGGAAATTCTGAAAGGAAGTCGGAGCGTGGGTTAGGTGCCGGTGTTGCACGGGCGGGCGGGAGGGGATCACGGATACAGCGGCACGACACGAGCGCGGGGCCAGGGGTAGGGGGGAGAAGTGCGGCGAGACTGAGGGGGAAGGAAGTGGCAAATGGTCCAGCGCCGGAATCCCGGGTAAAGTATGAGATAGACCTCCAAGTCCGTAAGCGCCGACGTCGCATTCCGAAAACTCCTGCTCACGATGTCCATTAATACAGAGTTCCCGCGTCGTAAAGAGAGGCGCTAATTAAATGGTAGCTTCCGGGGCTGTGATGCCACTCTGGGGACGACGACCTTGACGTTGGGCCCGACGCGGGAACAAAGAAACGCGGGGTAGGGGGGACGGTTGGATGGTTATAAACCAAAGAGCCGCAAACGGAGATGCGTTCACGCACGGAGTACTTGTGTTTCCTTCGGTCGTCGCCCGCCGACATATTGCCATGCCGAGGGGGTTATCGGATGGGAGTCCATGAACGTTACCGGCGGCCTCGTAATTTCGTTCGGACGCGTTAAAAATCAAGCGTGACCGCAAAGCTCTACTCACCTCGCCGTCCTCCCGTCTTCTCTCTCACTCTACGTTCGTCTGTCTCTCTTCTCCTCCACTCCTCACGCTCTTTCTCTCGCTCGTTATCTCTCTCTCTCTCTCTCTCTCTCTCTCTCTCGACTTCTCTGGCGGCGGCTGCTACTACTGCCGCTGCTGCTGTTGCTGCTGGTGCTGGTGCTGGTGCTGGTGCTGGTGCTGCTGCTGCTGCCGCTGCCGCTGCCGTTGCCGTTGCTGTTGCTCCTCCTTGGCCGTCTGTTTCTATCTCTATCTCGTTCCCGCTCTCTTTCTCTCCCTCTCTCTTTGTTACATTCGCTTATTCTGTCTCTATATGTCTCTTTCTCTCTCTTGCTTTCGCTCTTTTCCAATAACGCGCGCGTCCCTCAGTCTCACCGACAGCCTACTACCACTAATCTACGGTTGGCACCGCACACTGGCGCAGCTGCTCCTTCCTGCACGCCGTCACCGGGGCTCGCGTATTTATAAAGAGCTCTGTCCTCCGACCCTCGAAAATGCGACGAGGACTAGGACGAAGATTAGGACGAGGGCTTGAACGAAGATGGAAAATCTTGGTAGCTGCAGGGTGAGAGTGTGAGGGCAACTATAAGAAACGCTGTGCTTTTTTAGGGGCGATCCTCGCACGCGCGCACGCCTGTGTATCCCGGTGGTGCGTCGGCGGAGAGAAGGCAGCGACGAGAATCGGTCACGAAGAGCGGCGTACATACGGGAGAAGAGAGAGAGAGAGAGAGAGAGAGAGAGTGAGAGAGAAAGAGAGAGAGAGAGAGCGCGCGCGAGCCGGTATGTCGTCATCAAGACTCGTCACCGGCCAAAGTCACGCGCGTGCGCCCGCGGCGCGAGTTTCACGATGGGTAATGCGACCGTAACATTGACGGGCTGATACACGGGACCGCTCCCACAAGTGCACGTCTCGACCTGGCTGTGACCATCCGTGTCTGGATCGCGCCGGTAATGCTGACGTGATTGCTGACAGTGAGCGCAACATCCTCTTTCGCGCCGACTGGCGAATTCCACGAGAACGAGAGTGGAGCAGCCAATGGTGAGGTTCTGATGGGGGAAAAGACACCGGAAACACCGAAGAATGGCTGAGAGGAGCCGTAGTGGTGCCTTTCTTTTTCGCTTCAGTTTCGTTTTTTTTTTCATTTCTTTTTGCTTCTCTCTCTTTCTCTCTTTCTCTCACTTCTTTCTCCATTATCTTCGACCCTTCTATAACGTGGCCGGTTTCTCTAATCACCGTTTCTGCCTTCGTTAACGAGTGAAGAGGGGCGGGGTTGGGTCATAAGTAACGAGGGGGGGGGGAGAGGAGGCGGCCGTTGACGCGATCAGTAGTTTCACGATTTTTCCTTCGGTTTCTTTTTTAATAATTGGAGAATCGCGCGGCCAATTTTTCGTATTTTGTCTCTCATCCCTGTCAAACGGCAAAGACAGTTAAGGGACAGAGCAACGGACTCGACTCGTTACCGCTTACTAGGCGCTACCGGTTACTCAACCACTCTGTTCTGTAGAGACGGAAGAGAGCGGAGCGAAGAGCCTCGAGGCAGTCGCTACGGAAATGACTGCGTTTGCGCGAGGGTGGGACGACGAAGGAAACGAATGTGTTTACGGAAAATGAGTGTGATTCGTAGGTGCGGAAGACCTTACGAGGGTTAGGAAAAGTAGGCTTTTAGTGTGTCGTTACGCGATCGTGCGAGCGTTTCTCAATGTTCTACATAGTTATGGCGCAGAGGGGCCGAGGAGTAATATTCATAAATGGTGATAAGCTGTGATTTGTGCGTTTACCGTGCGAATTATGGCGCTGTCATCGAGATCTTTTGACAAATATAAAAGTATTTCATCTTAAAGTCTCGTATGGTGATTAACATATTGATTGTTCATCGCTGATAGCCAAAGAGACTCGTCAATTATATGTATATAATTTCATCGATTTATTTAATTATTTATTATAATGCGTCTGTAATTCACTGACAGTGAGTGAATTTTATTTTAAATTTTTATTTTACCTATAAGGCATATGGTGGTGAGCTCGTTGATCTACATAAACTGTACGTGTGCATCATCAACTAAAAATACAAATATTGAAAATCTTTATTCATTGCGAACAAAATTTGTTAATTTAATATAATAAAATCGCAATTTGTTTTTGTACGATTATTTTCGAATTAATATATAAATTGAAATAATGCAGATGATTGGAGAATTAGAGGTTTATAGAGAAAATGAAAACGAAACCGAACAGCGCTACACCAAAATGTTAAAAGAGTCAGAATATTTAATTTGACTACACTGCTAATATATTTTTAGATTTTTTTTTTTTTAATTTTTAGAAATGAAGAATTAAGAAAATTGGTATTATTTATTTTTATCACACTATTTCATCGTTGCGTATTTTAATACATGAATAATTTATTATAAATTATTATAATATTCATGTAATATGCAAAATAGAATTTTAAACATTTAACGTGCATTATTTAATTATTAATATAATTATACTGTAAATTAATGATTTTTGTATTTTCAGAGAAATTCATGTATTAATATTCTTTTATGCATTGATATACCCACTAATACTAAATTGAATTTACGGTTTTTATTTTATGTATTAACTTTGTAATATTATAAAATGATGTTTAATACAAACGTTGATAGATAAGAAAAAAATTAACATATCCAATGGCATGAGATATTACCAGTACTACAAATTATAATGTAAACGTTCACATTGAAATCCTTATATAGTTTAAAATTTTTATTTTAATATAAATATTAATAATCAACGATAAATATTCAGTGTGAAATGATAAAATTATATAAGTTGATTGGCTTCAACAGATTTTATTATTCAGCAAATGAACCACTTTGATACAATACCATCTGTGTAATCTACAATATAATACATACTTCTGGATTTAAATTTCATTTTAGAAAATGTCAAGGTATATTTAAAATTAATAATTATACTGTGAAACAATATATATATATATGCTATAAAGTAAGTTTATTTGCAAGTTAATTATCGACATTAGAAATACGTAAAATTATGTTTATAAAAAAAGGTTAACATTGAATATTGACTACCTTGTAAAGTCAACTGCTTTATATTAGTTCAAAGAGATAATTAACAATTAATTTTTAGTTAAATGCTTAAAATCTCAATGAATTTAAATTATTTCTTTAAAAATAAATCGTAAGGAATGTAACAATATTTAGTAATTCCATAAATTTAATAGTTATATTATAAATATTATAAGAAACACTACTATAAAATTTTATTGTAAAATATAGCTTAATCTTATAACAAACATATAAAGAAATATTCTATAGTATTGGGCACAGTCTTATATTCATATACAAATTTGAATTATGACAATAAAATTATTTATCTCTATCAACCTCCTAGTTAATCAAGTGGTTTATGCATAGAGTCGAATTACTATTAAAAAATTTTTTTATTTATCCGAATATTTAAACGTTTTATAAAATAAAAATGAGAAATAAAAGTACATTCATGTAAAAATAGTACCAAGTGTATTTATACGTTACAATTTTTGTTAAGTCTTAAAATTATAAAATATTTATAATTACACTAATGTATTGCATATATTTTATTAAAAAATTTATAAATAAACGCTTAATTACAGTATTAACAATAATTTTCATTAAGAGCATCTAATAGCATCTACAGTTCTTTTTTGTATTGCTTCAATATCCAGATTTGTTGCAATTATTGTAATTTAAAATAGTATTTATATTATAGTCTTTAAATAAAAAATACTTATTAGTACGCGTTAATGCAATTAAATGCATTATTAAAATAATAACGTATTAAATAATTATAAATCAATAATACCTTTAAATATCTTTTGTTATTTATTGTATATTTTTTTTATTTGATAATGATTATAATAAAATAGATTATTTTGAATGGGATATTCAAAATAAGGGTGTGTTATAGATTTTATATATTATGTAGTTAATGTGAAATTTTGTCTTTGTATGATGATTAGAAACACTTATCATTTTTCTAATAAAGCAACTACAGCTGTAACAAGTTTATATTAAATTGTTATACATTAACTATCATTTTAATAAATAAATAATATGTATGTAGACAAAATATACTAATTTTTGTTTCAGTTCTGAATAAAAGTTACTTGATTAGTGATTATATTCTGAGGATTACATAAATAAGCTTACTTAATACATACATACATAATTACATAATTACTAAAGTATTTAACTGAATGATTAAATATAGACATAAGTAGTGACATGTGCTACAGGTAAGAAATTATAATTATTATTTGATTAAGTGAAACTGTCAAGTTAAACGTTAGGAAAAATACTTCAGATTTCATCAAGATAAAACAGACGAAGTAAATATATGAAATGTAGTTGAAATGTTAATTGTTTTTGTTGGTAAGCTGATAAAAATTACAATTGTAAATTGTATCTTTAAATCATAGGCGTAGGTCAGCAAAGCCATTTTTATATATTCAACTTATAATCTACGAACATTATTTTGAAACTGTAAAAAAGGAATACTTTTAGTTTTGTGGGCTCTATATTCATCTGAACTTTTTATAATTAATTAATTTGATCGATTTATATGAAAATAATTTAATTAATAAACTGTATCATTAAAGTAATTTAAAATAATTGCTTATTACATATATATAATTAATTTAATATTTAAATTTATATTACAAATGAAATATATTAAAAATAAATACACAGCTACTAATATAATTATTACTTGTGAATATTAGCATTTGTAATATTTTATATATTAATTTTATCATCTACATTTATTTCATAAAATTTATTGTAAATAAAATATTTGATTGTAAATTAATATAAGAAAATTATTAATAAATAATGGAATTTGATGTGAATAATATTCATTTAATCGCTTTTATAATTAACTTTTTGTCAAAATTCCTTCAATACTATGC